TTGTACTTGTATCTGTTAATTTACCAATTGCTTTGAGGGAAAATGAAAGAAGATAATTGATTTAAGAGCCTGGAAGATCCTGCTCATAATGTCATCATTTATCTAGGAGGCTGAAAAATGAATGTTATTTTACCTTATTTTGATAAGTCATGACCTTCAAATCAAGAAAATCTAATATAATTTGTATTTTATTCCTAACACTTAGCTATTTCCTCAGTGTTCTACAGTGAACATCTATATACTTAGAAAATGAACATTTCTAAATTACCAAAAACATGTAAAACCCAGAAAGCCTATGGAGAAATACACAGATCATTCTAAATCTCATCACTTAGAGATAATTGCTACTAAATTTTTTTTTTTTTGGTACCGGAGATCAAACTGGGGACCTTGTGCTTGCCCAGCAAGCCCTAGAACCACTGAGCTAAATCCCCAGCCTGCTACTAAATTTTTTAATGTAGTCGCTTCTAGTTTTCCCAGTGCACATACAGATATATTTGTAGCCAGGTATGGTGGCTCACTCCTGTGTATTGGGAGGCTAAGGCAGGAGGATCACAAATTTGAGGCTACTTAGACCTTGTCTCAAAATAAAAAATGAAAAGGGCTGGAGATGTGCCTCGGGTAGAGCACCTCTGAGTTCGCTCCTTAGTACAACCAAACCAAACCAAACCAAACCCCAAAGTGTATATATATGTTTTGTAATAAAAATATTTATATATTACAAAGGGTATTTTATAGTAACTGTCTATATAAAATTATATATAGCATGCATATTTGTAAATCTTAATACTAAAAAAAACCTCCAGGACCTGGAAATAAAATTTATAAAATGCATAGAATGAATGACTATTCACAGTTCAAAGAGATTAAACTACAAGGTTTCATTATTAAGTATTCAGTTCCTGGGAATTCATTTTACTTTTATTTTTTACCACTTTTTAAAAGAGCCTCTTTTATGAACTCAAAACAGATATATTAGCATTTGCATCAAGGTTCTGTCAGAAGTCTGTGTTGTCTTGTGGTTTGGACACCTGAGAAATACTCACAATACTTGTCAGCCACTTATTAGAACTGCACATTGATATTTTGGCCTCATTTCTGACAAACTGTAAAGAAATAGTTGTCATAATATTAGAGCCCAAGGAGACCTGGTCTGCTTAGATGACTCAGTTCTCTTGGGAAATGAGCCAAACACTGGGAACAGTGGGTCAGTGTTGCTCAGTGCAGAGGCTTCTGTCTCCAGCCACTCTTCATCACGTTACCTCCTGCGTTCTTGTTTCTACAGGATTTTGTCTTCTACTTCTTCTCAATCAGTGGAGAGGGGAGGTTTGGTGTCTATAAGTTTTTCCCTCTTCAAAGAAAAAAGAAGGCTTTTTTTTTCTTTCATTTGTACTGAGGCTTCATCATTGGTATTACTGCAGTGGAGCAAGCTGCTGAGTATCATATGACTCCAGGTTATCATCAGAGACCTTGTGTGCTATTGCCTGGTAGTTTGACCTGTGATAACTTGTAGCTAATTATGACTGGAAATGTTAATTTTCTCCAGTTTTTTCCCAAACAGATGAGACAACTCCTACTTCTCCTGCGTACCATTTCTTTGCAGTAATTTTCACTCTTAGACCACATTATTATCTTTTCTATTCTAATTAATTACATTGAAAAACATGAAGCAGGGCCAGGGATTTAACTCAGTGGCTCCACCGCCTGCCTCGCAAGCACAAGGACCCGAGTTCGATCCCCGGTACCAAAAAAGAAAAGAAAAACATGAAGCAAAACCAAAGGTGAAGGGGGAATATTGAAAAAAATATACATTTTTGTATCTGTCCTTTTAGAAATGATAGTAATTCATATTATTTTCTCCCTTTGAGTTATTAACTACTTTTTTTTTTAAAACTACTGTGGATGCACCATGTTTCTTTCTTTCTTTTTTTTTTTTTGGTACGGGGGATCAAACTCGGGACCTTGCGCTTGCGAGGCAGATGCCGAAACCACTGAGCTAAATCCCCGGCCCTGCACCATGTTTCTTAACAGAGTAGCTTGGTCTCTTTTTGCAGAGCTGCTCATTTAATCAAATAACAACTGATAGATAATTCAGCTGTAAATTCATTAAGACCCCAAAATGACAGTAAAAGTTGGTGTTTTAAAACTTGGTGCTCCATGTGACACTGTTTTCTTTGTGCCTATTTACAAGCAAATTAGCTCATGTATACTAATCTGATTTCCTTCCAGTATATATCATCTGATTTTATCACCATAGAAATAAAAATAGCCTTCTTCTATTTTGTGTTCTCTCTTTAAAGTTAATTGGAGTAGCTGGGCATGGTGGTGCACACCTGTAATCCCAGCACTTGGGAGGTTGAGCCAGGAGAAATACCATGAGTTTGAGGACAGTCTGGGCTCCACAGTGAGCTCAAGACCAGCCCAAACTACATAGCAAGACCCTATCTCAAAAGAAAAAAGAAAATTTCCCCAGTCTTTTATCTTTAAAAAGTAATCAGAGTGGGTACAAGGTTCACACCTGTAATTCTAGCACTCTGAGAGATGCTGGAGCAGGATGAGCTCAAGTCCAAACCCAGCCTGGGCCATTTACTCACTCAATGAGAGTCATTCAAGGAAAAAAAAAAAAGATTTAGTTCAAAGGCTTCATGGGTTTGTTGCGAAGAATAAATATGAGAAAATCTGAAAACTGTTGCACAGTGCTCCATACAAAGCAAAAACTTAAATGTTAGCTTTTTTTATTATAGACTAGGGGTTTTAAAATGTTTTTTGTTAAGGACCAGATGGTATTTGAGACTTTGAAAACATGCAGTTTCCATCACAGCCTTTACAGTGTGAAAGCAGCTGTAGAAGCTGTGTAAATGACCGAGCCTGGCTATTCCAGTAAGTCTGGTGAGTTGGCCCTATTAGGTCCACAGGCTCTGCTTTGTTGACCCCTGTGTTCAAGACTAATCAAACTAACATGAAAAAAGGGATGATTAATATTGTGAATTCAATGTAGTCCTCCTGTTAAGTGGATTATCAAGAGAAATTTAGATTGATTAAAAATTTAATTTACAACCTCAGACATTTAAAAATATCAGTGTCTGAAACAGTCTACTCAATTTTGTCATGAAACTCTCGGCTACCAGGAACCATCAAAAACAAACATTTCTAGATCCATAAATACATGTTAGTAGAGAGCATCCTATAATATACTCTTCCTTCTTACCTTAAACACATTATGTAAAAATAGTCTAGGGCTAGGGATATCGCTCAGCGGTAGAGTACTTGCCAAGTATTTGAGGCTCTGGGTCCAATCTTCAGTTCTGTAAAAATAGCGTCAAAAGTATCTTAATCTTAGTTGGGCGTGGTAGTGCATGCCTGTAATCCCAGCACTTGGGAGGCTGAGGCAGGAATGTTGAGCAAGTTTGAGGTCAGCCTGGATTACATAGTGAGTTCAAGGCCAACCTGAATTAGATAGTGAGACCCTTTCTCCAAAAAAAAAAAAAAAAAAGACAACAAAACTCTAACCCTTAAAAAAACCTTTTTATTATATCTTACGGTTTTCTGGGTCAAGAATTGTGCTTGGCTTATGTCAGTGATTGTTTGCTCTACAGGTTGCCAAGTGGGCTGCCCTAGACCATTTAAGAGGGCTCCTTCATGGGTCTTACAGGAAGGTTGAGCCTCTCTTACACCTGTCCTTTATGTTTATTTATTTTTGGCTTTTTGAGACAGGATCTTGCTATGTAGTTCAGGCTGGCCCCGAACTCACCATGTAGCCCACACTGGCCTCAAAAGTGTGGCAGTTCTCCTGCCTCAGCCTCCTCAGTGCTAGAATTACAGGTGTGCACCACAATGCCTGGCTTATTTTTTTAAAATGAAACGACATTGTCATTATGAATCTTAGTTCCGGGCCGGGGGATTTAGCTCAGTGGTTCTGCCGCCTGCCTCCCAAGCGCAAGGTCCTAAGTTTGGTCCCCAGTACTGAAAAAAAAGAATCTTAGTTCCTGTAATACCTTGATGCTGTCAGCTCTTTCTAGGGTACATAGAGCTGTTGCTTATACTCCCCAGGCTGCTATGCTTTGAGTGTGGTGGGATTTTTTGTTTGTTTTTTTAAAATAAGTTGATTCTTAACAGGAGTCTGGAGTACTTGCTGCATAGGTGTAGCACTTCCTGCATAGGTGACATCTTACTGTATTGGACATTCAATTTACTATATATAAGCTGCCTTGCTGGCCACCACTAAGAACTGTTTAAGAAGCTTAAAATATGACTTAATAAAGAAGAAAATTCTGCCATGTATAACAGGACTGAACCTGGAGGGCATTACACTAAGTGAAATCAATTAGTCACATGAGGGCAAATGCGAGGCATCTGAAATAGACCAATAGAGAATGAAGTGATGATTGGCAGAACGCATGGGGAGAAATGGGAAATTGTTATTCAACATGTAGTTTCAGTTGTGCAGCAAGTGTTTTTCTTCTGCTTATGCCCCACTTCCCTAGATTCTTGATTAGATAGTGGGTGTTAGGAAAGCAGAATATGGGGATAGACCATCAGCACATAATTGGTGATTGCAGTGGGAAGTGGGGAGTAGGCTTAACTTGCAGCTAAGTTTGCATGACAAGCCCCCGTTTGGCTTGCCTGTGTGTATGTGTGGAGTGACTCATGCTGTGGGAGCTGAAACAACTCAGGCAATTCTTTTTCACTGTTTCAGTTAGGTGGTCATGTGCTTGTACCCCACATCCCTGTTACCTCCAGGCCTTGGAGTCTTTAGGATGGCCTTTATACTATCCTGTCATCCTGCTATATTTCTCTCCTGCCAGCCTATTCTTATTTTGAACACTGAGATGATATTTTTTGGCCTGGGTGTCTTTCCATCATATTTATATACACATATTAAAGCTCTCCAACCCTTTACTATAGATGGGGTATAGTACCTGCCTTACTGTTAAAAGGATAAAATCCTCAAAGAACATTAGTTGTTATTGGATAACCATCTTCCAAATTTCCTTTTTTAGAAACTGATTCAGCAGTGCAGAAAGAACATAGAAACCAGACACCTGCTCCAGCTGCAGCTCAAACTTCGGCTCCCTCTAAGTACCACCGAACTCGATCTGGAGGAGCCAGGGATGAACGATACCGATCAGGTGAGAAGGACCTACAAAATTTCCAGCTGAAGAGTTTTTACTGACCGCAGTGGGGATTGTGTGTCTCCTGAGATCTTCTAATGGTTGTTCTTAGTTTTTTCCCTTGAGGCACCAAAGGTCTGTATTGATTCATTCATTCATTAATCGTGTATTTAGTTCCTACTATGTATCAAGAGTAGTAGATGGGCAATAATTTTTGGGAATACAGCAGCAAATAAGACCATTTCTGCCATCAACAAATTGAAGAAAAGGAGCCAGAAAAACAAAAAGACAATGTGAGTAAATGTGAGTGGAAGCTCAGGTCATGTGGGAGGGCCCAGTGGACTCTTTGAAGAAGGAGGTCCTTCTGTGTTTGCAGACCTGCTTTTTTGTTTTTATTTCTTCTAACCCAGAAAGTTCCCATTTGGAAGGAGAAAGGCAAGGTCTGGCAGTGGGAGCCTGCTCCTACTTATACTGTGTCCAGAACCACTCAGCCGCTAGGCCTGGTGGCGCATGCCTGTAATCCCAGCACTCAGGAGGCTGAGGCAAGAGAATTGCTGTGAGTTCAAGTCCAGCCTGGACTACATAGTGAGACCTTTTCTCACTAAAACAAAAACAAAACTACTCAGCTATCAGTACCAGGTGTACCACTCTGATTGTAGAGAAACAAATCACAGAGCCCCAGTAGGATGTGGGGCATAGCATGTCTTTCTGATGCCCATTTACCAACTACTGTGCTGAGTAGTCTCTGTAGCACATGTGTGCTTTAAGTGGCAGAATTAGGAGGAAAGACTTAAATATTATTCTGCTCTCTCCAGTTTTTGTCTCCCTTTTATACCATCCTTTCTTTTCTTTTTTTAAAAAAAAATTATTATGATGCCAGGAATTGAATGTAGGGCCTCTTGCATACCCCAGTCCACCTTAACCTTTTCTTTCTTGAATTGAAAAACAGAATGTAGATCACATCTTAGAAACCTCTTAGAGAAGGTGAGGAAAAGACACAATTGTAGAGTTCATCAGCCTTTTTTTGAGCTGATTTTACTGGATGTATATTTTTGCATGCTGGAAAGGGGATGGGGGATGTTCAGTCAGGAAAAAAAATTAAGGTTGCACACCACACCAGAATTTTCTCTTATACTTAACCTCATCTTGAGTTACCAGGGGAGAGTTGTTCAGGTAATAAGACATCTAAGCAGAGTCATGACAGATGACAGTTAGATGGACAAATAGCACCAGATAGTAGACCCCAAAGTAGTTTTACCATGGCCAGAATTTAGAATGCAAGGGCCTAGCCAAGTGTGGTGGCACACACCTATAATCCCAGCACTCTGGGAGGATGAGGCAGGAGGACTGTAAATTCAAACCCTCCCTTGGCAATTTAGTGACTTAGTGAGACCCTGTCTCAAAATAAATCAAAAGATGGGCCAGGGATTTAGCTCACCAGCACCGCACCTGCCTGGCAAGCGCAAGGTCCTGAGTTCAATCCCCGGTACCAAAAAAAAAAAAAAAAATCAAAAGAACTGTGGATGTAGCTCAGTGCAAAGGCCCTGGGTTCAATCCCTAAGTAGTGTGAAAAAAGAAAAGAGTTCAGGGCCAGAAAGAAGTAGGAGAAGAAGCTTAAAAAGATTACTGGAAACCAAATTGTCTCTTTTTTTGAGACAGGATCTCACCATGTGGTTTAGGCTGGGCTTGAACTGACTGTGTAGCCTAGGCTGGTCTCAAACTCACAGCAATCTTCGTCCCTCAGAGTCCTGACTGGTAGGATTATAGGTGTGCACCATCACGCCTGGCTTTAGAAACCAAATTTTGAGGAGTATTCAGTGACTAAAAATTTTTCAACAGAGCAGTAAGCTAATCAGACTCTTACTTGTTCTAGTTGTTTAACTCTAGTGGCAGACTCCATGCTTTACCCCTCCTGTGTCCCAGTGCTAAGTAGAAAAAGGGAATACAAGTAGTTATAAGAGAATAGGTTAAAGGGAGGTAAGAATGGAAGCAGTGAAGTATATCAGGAACTCCTCTTGTTGCCAAGCCCCCAGCCGTGATTTCATAGGCCAGGCTCAGGTTTAGCAGCAGCGTGTTCTAGTCAGTCCAGAAGGGTTTTAGCCTTTAAAACTCTAATTTCTGGCCTCCTGAGAGTGTTTGTACATCCCCCTCTCCCCCCTTTTTTCTTTTTCTTTCTTTGTTATAGCATGTAATAAAAGGATTAATAAGGAACCAGAAAGATGATTCTCTATGTCTTGTGTTCAAGATGATCCCATCTGTCCGTCTGTCCATCCATCCGTCCATCCATCTTCCCACCTATCTAGTGAGCTCCTTTAGTAGTGTAAAATTTAAACTTTCACCCATAAAACTTCTGTGGTGGTCCCCAGTCCCTGCTCTTTTGTACCAGTTCTTTCAGATTACAACAATTATTAGAACATACAGTCTGTGAATCAGATACTGGTCAGCAGGCTGTGGAGACTCTTAGGTACAAGGGTACTGATAAGGATTTAGTAGTCAGGTTTGGATATTTATCTCAGGTAGTAGTGAGAAATAGGACAAAAGGGAGCAAAGGTGAAGTAGAAAAGAAAAAAATAATTAAATACCCTAAAGATGCTGAAAGCTGTGAGAATATTGCAACACTCCTGAGAGAGGGTATAAAAGAAGCATGCAAGCATAGATTTGGGTGAAAAAATCACACTTTTCAATATAGGAGTTGCTCAACTAAATTGCAAATGAAAGCTCAGCATATTGGAGAAATTGAACATCTCAGAGAATTCTGGCTTCTCTGCAACCAACAGCTGCTGCAGAGGAAGGGCAGATATGTTGTGGAGGTTGATGGGAGCCAAACTTCTGTCTCTGTTACTGTAGTCATAGGAAGGTTTACATTTACCTGTCCGGTGCCAAAATTGCCTAAGATGGGTGAACTTTTTAGAGACCAAGAGCCCAGAATGGAACTCAAAACCCACTTATTGCAAAGTGCCAACACGGCAGTTAAACTTGAGTACTGAGGTTTCAGTTTAGGGAAAAAAAAACACAAAACTTATCCAATGCTCAGCTTCTGGGGTGATTTGGCTCATGTGGAAACAGAGTGGCTCTGTGTGCCTGCTGCAGCATGAGTGCTGCAGATTTGCCACCACTGACCTAGGGTATGTTTAGTAAAACTTGCAAAAATTCAGAATAAAGTGATGGGTACATAGGAAAGTTTAATAATAATGTTGGTGAATATACTTGAAAAATCCTGTCTTATGTGGTGGGTGCTTATTAACACCTGCATTTCAGACAGTCAAAATCAAATCTAAGTAGACTTTGTGTTTCATGTTTCAGACATAGTTGTAAGAGCTTCTATTTACTCAGAGTTCAGAGGATGACTTGATTCTGTTCTTTGTGCTTAGCCAAGAGAGACCTTATATTTCAAATATGATGCTTATTTAGTACCTCTTTTTCCTGCACGTCAAGGCAGGATGCACTTTTATACACACATCTGGTATGGTCCCAAGTATATAAAATATACAATGCCTGAGATGGAAAGTTATCTCACTGTAAATCATCTGACAACTCCTTTGATGTTAATCTCTTGAAATTAGCCACTCCAAACATAACAGCAAAAGCAGAAAAAGGACTTTTAGGAAATATTTGTATCACCTTGTTCAGCTAAGATATTAGTGTTGGAAAACAATATCCAGCTTTCATGTGTTTCTGACAGAGAATTGCAAAGTCAGCTTTGTCTGGGGACTGAACTTCCAAAGCAGTTTCTTTTTTTGAGTACGGGAGATCAAACTCGGGACCTTGCGCTTGCGAGGCAGGCAGTAGCACTACTGAGCTAAATCCCTGCCTCACCAAAACAATTTCTTTATCAAAGATCAAGATTAATTGTATGCTGGTGAATGAGTCCAATTCAGTTAAGAAGGGTGTCCATTCTTATCAATAGGGATCTTTTCCTTTTTTTTCCCCCCTTTAAGTTTATTGGTACATTTTTAGTATAAAATAGTTACATACATCATTGGGATCTTGTACCATTACATGAGTATCTTGGTTCTTATTTTTTTCCCCTTCCCTTGCCCTCCCTTCACCCCCT